CCCTTTGTACGAACAAAAGTAAGAGAAATTTAGGATAAAAATACGAACATGTTCTTGTATGAGGCCCAATCTTTTTTAAGGGGTCTTTTTGTAAACAAACTATTTAGAATGTTAAGCGAGGCCTCTGCACTTTCATCATCAATCTGTTGACTTTATTGAATGTTTTCCACTCATGAACAATTGTTCTTACTGTTGAATAATAAAGTCCATATTTGTGGTCTTATAGCCACAAAAAAAGACTAAAATCCTCATTTAAAARGTTTCAGGTAATTTTTTTGTTCAGCTCTTATTTAAGAGAGCTTGTTTAATCAGTGAAGTGATTTCTTTTTAGAGATTTCCACTAAAAGTTGTAACTTCAGGATTTATTTTTTATAATAAGATATTGTACTTCATATGACTTATCAGCAAAAACATGTCCCCCTGTTCGGATGTAAATGGAATGTTATACTTAAAAACATCTCCAGAGCACAACTCATACATAGCATGTGGTCTGAGCAATTTCACAGGATGAGGATGTGTGTTTTTCTCAGTTTTGTCTCAGTGTTTTGTTTTTCGCTGAATTTAAATGCAGCGCAGGTTGCGAGGCAGATTTGTTCACAACTTGACTTGTGCTTACGAGCCACTGGGATGCCAGAGATTTCCTCTAAAGCAGCCAAACCTTTTCAAAGCTCACAAAACGCCCACAGTAGGTTTTTTATTTTCTTTTTCTCTGCTCATTTGTTTTAATTTAAGCAGAGCCTCTCGTTGCAGGCCAGACTTTTAGGAGATTTTGTGGGGAATMTGGCTGCTGCTCGTCGCCAAACTGAGATTGGAAGGATTTAGGTCTCAGTCTGAGAGAACGAACAGTACTCTTATTTCTGATTAATTCTGAGAGCGGGTGTAGTATTAGTCACTGAGATTTTATAATGTGTAGCAACATGTTAACATTTTTAGTCCTTTATAACCAATTCAGATGTTTAAGTATGGTTTGAAAAAAAGAGATGAAAGCATTCTTCAAATCTTTAAAGTGCCTGTGACATGCATTTCCTTCAAATACAAAAATCAAAGAAAGCATCTTTATATTTAAGAAACTTGGCATAATACATATGATTTTACACATTTTGTTACCTAACTGGTATATTTTCCTTTGAACTTGACTCAACCAGAGTGAAACAGGAAGTGACATCAAAGGGGAACTCTTCAAGAAATAAAACTTTCATCKTTGTTTATTCAAATATTTGAATTTTGACGCTTCATCTCTCTGATAGTAACTCTAAATAATCAGATTCTTCTCTACAGACTGTGTTGTTAATTATTGTAGCAACACTGTTTACATGCAGACATTCCCCTTTGACATCACTTCCTGTTACTGAACATGTGAATATCTCAAAATCTGTTCATATCGACAGCAGGAAAAAAATTTTTTGCAATATATTATCAATGCTATCTTTCCAAAAATGCATTCATATTTATTACAAAAATGTGATGTCACAGGCACTTTAAGCACTTTTTCATGTATATAATTTCTTTAGGATTTGTCCTGGAGCTTATTTAATCTAACCTACCTGTAGTTGTTTCTTTTGTACTTTTTTCTTACTTTTTTCCAAAAWATTTGATACGCTTCAGATATAAGATGTCATTGTTTATCACGTTTAATGTGTTAAAACTATGTTGAAACTTTAAAAAGTAAAASTCCCGCTGTGTTTTCTCTCAGTTTATGTGATGCGTCGTGTTGTGTTGTCAGGGTCGAGCGCTCGACTGACCAGGTGATGAATCCGGTGAACACAGAAGCCCTCTCCAAGTGGGTGGGCAACATCCCCGCCGACGTGCTCAGCGACATGGCAGAAATCGCCCCCATGCTCGCTCGCCTGGGCTACGACCCCCACGCCAACCCCCCCGACTACAGAAAACTGCAGCCTCTTGTTTCCTCGCTCTACTACTCACAGGTGAGAASAACAAACTTCAACATTTATTTTCATAAATAGCACTGAAAGCATCTCAATTGTAACGCGTTCCAATGAACAAATCAGTGTTTTGATGTAAAAAAAGTGGATTTTAAACACATGTAGCGTTTTGTTTTCACAATGTTGTGATGCATCAGATCTAAATACAATCTGTGACAGTCATGGGTTTGCATTAAAATTAGCAACTGTATATTTTTAGACTCAGTAACACTAACTGTAACACACGTTTGATCCTCTTTCATCTGTGATCTTATTGTCTCTTCTTGTAGAAACTGAAAGCAGCAGACTCTTCTCACCCCAGTTAAGCGTGGCTCCTCTGATCCACCCAACGGTTGGACCTTAACTTCCAGCTCAGCAGTAATTACACCTCACAGAACACCTTGGTGTAATTTGTAATCGTTCTCCAGGCTTGTGCAGTCCTCCGCTGTGCGTAACGGGATGTTGAAATTACAGACTCAAGGCGTTYGTTTGAACTCTCCATCTGAAGTGAACAACCTGCTCACAAATCCATCATTTCATCCATGGTGAACCGTATCACACTGACACATCCTGTCACCTACTTGAAAGTGTTTCAGCGTGTCTAAGTTGTAATGACTTCATCACAATGTGAATGTCTTCAAATTATTCACTGACATCTCAGTGTTCAGTGACTGTATATTTTTAAAAGATGTATGTTTATTTTCTTAATAAATTATTTTGGATTTGGTCATTTTTAATTGTTGATTATCGTTGAATAAAAATAAAAAAGAGGCAAGCTTTCACCTTCTAATGTGTTCATTCATCAGAATGTTACAGAACACACAGCGCCCCCCAGTGGTGTGTTGACAACTATACTTTTAATTCACACAAAAGACAAAGTAAAATATTCAGGTTTCACAGTGAACTCCAAGCACCTGGACAGGCTGCTGCTTGTCTCTGGATTGGATGTCCTCAGTGGGCAGCTGGGGAGGCCAGACCCCCCTGCTGCTGCCTGGTAAATGGACTGGAGAAGCCGGAGCTTCTGAGCTGCACCTGATCATGTAGAGGAAACACCTGGAGAACTGAGAGACACGCCAAGTTAGGTGAACACTTCAAAAGATCTGAGCATAGCATTAAAAAATACTAAAAAATAGATCTACCTTGGTGTTGAGCAGCATGTAAACGACAGGGTTGATGACGGTGCTGGTCTTCGCCAGCAAAGAGGGGATCAAACTGGCAAYGGGTGTCACCGATCCCGGCCGCCCAAAAGAGGCAACCAACGCCACAAYGCCGTAAGGCATCCAGCACAACAGGTACCCCGTCACCATGATGACCGCCATCAGGAGGACGCGGCCTTCGTTACGATCAGACGAGGATCGGTTGATCCTGCCCACCTGGGGGGGTACACTGTTTTAACTCCGATGCAGGGGTGGGCAGGGTGGCAAGTGCCACCTCTGGCACCTGGTTGGCCACCCCCAAATAACCGACACATGGAGAGGTGTCTTGGATTTTATATTAAATTTAGACAATGTTAGATTGTTTTCTGACACTACTGTACTSTATACATTTTCAACTCGATTTAAAAATGTCTGAATTGTAGCCTTTTGTAAAATTAGCATCAGCATTTGGCATGTGATTGTTCTTAGCTGCTCCACAACACACTTCATCTCAATAAGTGAAATGTCTGAATTTAATCCTTTTAAAGTTAGCTGTGGTGGCCATCTTGAATTTTTGATTAACGTTCAGAATTTAGTAAAGCTTGTTTTTGGCTACTTCTACACTAATCTTCTGGTTTGGATGGCTGAATAATAAATTGGGATTAGCATTCAGCATGTTTTTTGGATTACTATTAGCTTTGATAACAAAATTTCAGCTCATTTTATGAAACAGCTGAATTAAAGCCATTTGAAATKAGCTGTGGTGACCATCTTGGATTTTCAAATCCAGAATGGTTTTCTGTGCCACCCCCAAATATCAACTTGGCCACCTCTTGCAATAAAGTCTAGCTCTGCCCCTGCTGATATACACAAAAGACAGAGTTGTCCCTACAGGGTCAAAGGTCAAGCTGTGAACGTACCTGTCTCGCCACACTTCGGACGGCCAGCAGGAGCCGGCCATAGCAGAAGAACATGAGCAGCAGCGGCAGGAGGAGGCAGAAGATGAACAAACAGCTGATGTAGGAGCGAGCAGTGGCCGAGCGCTGCTGCCACTGGACTGAGCAGACGGTGCCAGGACCCTCTGGACCATAGCTGCTTCACAAGAGGAGAGATGGACATTAGACAGACATTCCTCCGGTTTCTCTAAAACATGATCAAATGTATTTCTGTTGTGTAGGACAGGGATAGTTAGTGCAGACCTGCTCCAGCCCAGCAGCGGCGGCAGAGTCCAGATCAGTGAGTAGAACCAGGATAGGGCTACAGCGAGTCTGGCCCTGCGGTACTGAGAGGGGTTCAGCTGGGTCCCACGAAGCAGAACAGCATACCGTTCAAAGGACAACAACGAGAGAGACACCAGAGACACAACACCTAGCAGACGCATCAGATTAAAGATTAATCTGGTCCTTAATAATGTTCGCAACCACAACTGAAGAATGCACCACTTCAATAGTATATAACAGCTTATAATGTTTACAAAAGTGTTACAAGCAAACAATCAGCTATTAAAACATGTATGCTTGACAAGATCTTCACAGCTGTAAAGCCACAAATTCATCTTMCATCTTCCAGAACAGCTGAAAGCAGCAAAAGGCTAGCTGAATGGTAGCTAAAATGCAGCAAAAGATTTGTTAAAAGTAGCAGAATGATAGTTAAAATAAACAGACAACAGGTCTTAAATGCAGAGTTGTAAAGTAACTAATTGCAAATACTTTGTTACTGTACTTAAGTAGAATTCTTGGGTATCTATACTTTACTGGAGTAATTATTTTTCAGCCTACTTTTTACTTCTACTTCTTACATTTTCACACAATTATCTGTACTTTATATGCCTTCGTTTTTTTAAAAAAGGCAAGAAGTAAAAAGTCGTTACTTTTATTTCATTTTTGCTTGTTTTCATTCCAGCTTGTAAAAAATAAAAACTATCCATATAAACTGTGCCTCCTAGATCGAGTGAATTTAATTCTGGTTGAATGAGAAGTATAAATATATAAAACTCTGATACCGTATTACTTTGTACACAAACAAATCATGTCACACTCCAGCAGGACATAATCATTAAAATAAAAGGACTGTACTTAAGAAGTATTTGTATTTCATGAATTATATTATTACATTTAGCTGCAGCCCTCAGATAGATTTTCATTTTGGGGAAAAGGTTTGTGCAGCTTTGATATATGTATTTAAACTGAACCTGCTAGCGTGTCCTAAATTTAACATAAATTATTTTAATACGATATAATATAGAAATTTCTGCATTTTTTTGGGAGGTCACCTCCTAATAAATGTCATTACAGAAAATCTAACTGCTCATTTTAAATCAATACTTTTACTTTTAATTCTTGTGGTACTTTATACAACACTGCTTAAATGAAAAACTGGTGGCTCGTGGGCCAAATCTGGTCTGTGGCTGAGCTCATTCTGGCCCRCCCATGTGTTAATTTTAAATAAAGCCAGATTTTAAATTAGGAAAAAAGGCACCCTAACAGAGTCTGAACTGTTTTGAAACTCCTCTGTGAAAATGGTTCAGTTACCGAACAGCGCGTTGCAGAAGCCGTACCAGCGGCACCCGTAGCTTCCGGTCAGCCATCGGCCGCGCAGACTGGCGGCGAAGCTGAGCGGCGTGCCGAACAGGCAGACCAGCATGTCGCTGCAGCTGATGTTGATGAGAAGCAGGCTGGGTGGAGTTCGCAGAGAGGGGAAGCGCGAAAACACCAGGAGCGCCAGGAAGTTCCCGAGGAAGCCCAGGACCAAGATGAACCCCAGAACGACGGCCGCCGCCGTGTGACCTGCCCGGCTCAGACCTCCAGAGTCCGACCCCTCAGGCTCTGTGCTGAGGTTGTTGCTGGGCTGCATGGCAAAATGAGGGTGGGATTTATTCCTAAAAATTAAGAGTTGGCATACAAAAATAATAAAGCATTTAACAGGAAAAAGACGGACCTAGAGTAAAAACTAGCCTGGTTCTAAATGAGGAACTGGGAGGGTCCAGATCCCAGTCCTTTTGCTTTGACCCCATTGTGCTGCTTTTCAAACACATAAAAATTTACATCCTAAAGACATTCATGCTTAACATTAGGAAAATATCTTTGCACAGGATAAGCCTCATTTTTAGAAACATATTTTTGATTTGTTCTTGTTTGTCCCAAAGCAGATTGTGGACCTTAATAAATGAGCCATCTTATCAATAATTCAAGCTCTGGCTGATTCAGAGGCTCAGCAAAAGACCCACACACTCATGAGCTGAATGCTGAGAGGCATGTGACTAATAAACATGTCCAGTTTGAGTAATAAACACATTCAAACTCCTGTTAATTTACCCATTTATTCCAATTATGCTCCTTCAGCTCACTTACAGCTTTTCCTTGCTCCTGACCTGCTGCTTAAAATTCAAAATTATTTTTTGAAATACTATTCCTTGTGTCAACATTATGTTTCATGCATGAAATTTGTAAACCACTGAATTCATTTTACACATTTTTTTGTGAAAAGATGCAGAAATGATCTGATAAGTTTGATTTTTGTTTTTATTCTGTTATTATTAGTCCCTACATGAAGATTATTGTGAAACTTCAAGGTTTATTTTTATGTAAGTGTGTCGTCAACGTGATTCAAACCCGCGCGAGCACATCACGACACTGCGGTGACGTAAACAGAGCAGAGGACGTTTCCGTMGCAACTGTGGCCCGGTCCGTCACCCGTAGCGGCCGCTGACTGCGTCGAGCTCATCCCTCGGTTGGCGGCGGGGATACCACCGGGGCCTCGAGACACGCGGGCGACGCAGCGTCGAGGGGCGAGTCCGCAGTGCCGTGCGGTGATGCTGAACATGTGGAAAGTCAGGGAGCTCGTGGACAAAGCGTGAGTACCGCTGGAGTGGGGTACGGAGGCAGGTGGAGCTAGCTGGAGCTACACCGCCCAGCGGCTTGTAATGTAGCCGGAAAGTGAGCGGCGTCCTGCTGGCAGCATCAGCAGCTTTCACCGCTGAGACAGAGGAGAGGGACCGTGATGTCACGGCGGCGGTAGCCTTCAGATGTTAGCTTTAACTAGCTGGCTAGCTGCCAGTTCTTAACCTAGTGGCACATTTATTTATTTTTTAAACACCGTTTTATGCTGCCTTGGGCTTTCGTGCTGCTTTCCACAGTCACAAACCTGAAAAACATAAAAAAATATAATCTGTTAATTTATGTTTGATCTATATCTGTTAGCTAATTACGCTATCGATGCTAACAGGTCAGGGGTTCCTGTGCTGCTGCAGACACACCTGTCCCACCCTGCTGATGCTCACAAACACACACAGGAAGGCTGATTATTAAATGATGGAAACATTGTGATTAAATAATTGTAAGAGAGCAGTGTGTACTGTTTCCTACCCAGCAGCCACATCGGTCTGTGGAGGCCCTTACCCCCCTCTCTTTAGTCCTAAACAACAATGGCCACCAAACATAATGCTGCTGTTCCATTAGTTACTTTGTGTCTTTGCTGCTTTATGGATATTTATTTTATTGCAGTACAGTTCATGCATCCTGCATAACCCTGCAGGAGAAGGAACAATAACATCTTCCTCTCCTGTCTGCAGAGTTGTAAAGTAACTAAGTACAAATACTTTGTTACTGTAAAGTAGAATTTTTGGTTATCTGTACTTTACTTGAGTAATCATTTTTCAGCTTAAGTTTTACTTTTACTCATTACATTTTTACACAATTATCTATACTTTCTACTCACATTTTTTAAAAAGGTAAGAAGTAGAAAGTCGTTACTTCTATTTTATTCCAAGTTATTACTTAAAAAATACTATCCTGGTAAATTGTGTCTCCTGGATAGAGTGAATTTAATTGTGGTTGGATGAGAAGTATAAATATATACCATTCTGACACTATATATTCACTTGTACACAACCCATCAC